CGGCCCCCGCGCTCCCAGGACCTCCGAGCACCGCCGTGCCCGCAGCCCGTTCATCTCCAGGACGCCCCAGCTCCGCCGTCCACACAACCCACGCATGACTCTGACCCACACCTAGCCCCCAGCCCCGTTGCCTACACCCCACGCAGGTCCAGGACCCCTACCCGCACTGCACACCCGTGCCCAGGAACCCCAAATTCATTGCACACTCACAATCTGTGCACATCCAGGGACCCCGTCCCCTCGGCAAACAGCCCACGCATGTCCAGGACCCCCATCCCCACTGCACACGCATGCCCAGGACCCCTGTCCGCTCGATAAATAGCCCACGCGTGTCCGGGACCCCCATCACCGCTGCGTGTGCATGCTCAGGAACTCCACCCCCTCAGCACACATTACCCACGCGTGTCCAGGACCCCCAACCCCTCGGCACATACTGCCCACATGTGTCCAGGACCCCCATCCCAACCACACATGCATGCCCAGGAACCCTCGTTTCATTGCACACTCACAGCCCGTGCGCATCCAGGACCCCGTTCCCTTGGCACACACATGCCCGAGACCCCTGTCCCCACTACGCACGGGTGTCCAGGACCTCCGTCCCCTCAGCAAATAGCCCACGCATGTCCAGGAACCCCCCCATCCCCACTGCACATGTATGTCCAGGACACCCATCCCCTCAGCAAACACCCCATCCGCATCCAGTACCCCCATCCCCACTGCCCACGCGTGTCCAGGACCCCCGTCCCCTCGGCAAACAGCCCACGCGTGTCTACACCTCCCCTCCCGCTGCGCCCCCAGCGCCGTCCCACAGCCCACGCATGCCCAGAACCCCCGTCCCCTCGGTAAACACCCCACGACTGTCTTCACCCCCCGCCTCCCACCGCACACCCAGAGCCGTCCTGCAGCCCACGCGTGTCCAGGACCCCCGTCCCCACCGCACACACATGTCCAGGACCCCCATCCCCTTGGCAAACACCCCACGCGTGTCCAGGACCCCCGTCCCCACTGCACACACGTGTCCAGAACCCCCATCCCCTCGGCAGACACCCCACGCCTG